TGAATTAATAACATGAAAGAGGGAGGTCTGCAGGGAACTCTGTTCGCAGGTTCATGGTAGTCAATTACTGAGTGAATATCTCTGTCATACAACCTCAAGCAGTGTTTGGAGCTTTAATGTGTTTCGAATATGCCACCTTAGTGTGAGAGGTAAGCTTTATTCTTATGTCCAGGGGTTAGCATATCGTGGCCTTCAAACATACTCCACTATATGAAGTAATAAGTAATTAATTGTAGCTCTCCTCCACCAGCTACAGCATGAAAAAGCTGTTTACATAGTAATGCGTCAGTGGTGATACATTTTAGTTTTGAGATTAGTGACATTTAAAAATTATATATATATAGAATAGAATAAATATTACATGATGATACATCATCATCTTTAAAACAGCTTCTTGCAAAAGAGTATACAGCTTACGGCCACACCACCCTGAAAACATCCGATCTCGGAAACTAAGCAGGGTCGGGCCTGGTTAATACTTGAATGGAAGACCGCCTGGGATTACCAGGTGCTGTAAGCTTGTACTTCTCTACAGACACCAGAGGGTGCCGCTGCTTCCCTTCAAACAAAGCTCTGAAACTGTTTGACCTCGTGTATCTCCATTCTGTACTGTACTGCTACTGGTTGAACACAGTGAATCACATTCATTTCTCACAGGTCTTAAGAAACTTCACAGGGTAACAGTGATGCCAATTAAATTGATACTTTACCAGTTTTCTGAAAACCCAGACAACAAAACAGGAAAGTCAGAGAGGTGTTAATTCAACTATATATTTTAGCATTGAGGGGTTTTTTTATAGTCTCCCCACCCTGTGTGCAGCTGGTGAAGACAAAGTATTTGAAACATCTCAAGATTTAGTCCAGTACAACAAAACCTTCAGCTATGTCCTTAATAGTAAATACACATAAACACTTTAGGCTGGAGAAAAAAAAATGTTCCAGGTTGTGTGTTTCTTTGATGAGTTTTCAAATTTAAAGGATAACTTAGAGGGGAAACACAGCAGGGAAAATCCACCTAAGTGGGCGGGGTGACTTTATAGCTAGGGCTAATTTGGCTACCACTACCTCTGTAGTAGAGATTCAGAAAAAGTTAAACAGTGTCACCAGGGCAACTGGTTATCCTCAGACTGCCTGAATAAACATGATTTCAATCAAATCAATTCACACTCATATCTGAGTCGGAAGGAAAGCAGATACAGTAGCCATTACTGCTAACTGCGTAGCAATATACATCCAGGTCAGCTCGCCAGCTGATGAGATGACTGGGTGATCAGGTGATCGACCCAGACAGCTAACATATTTTATATCTGCTTTCCAACCGTCTCAGAGTAAAACCTGAGAAATGAATTGACTGAAATAATTTGAGCTATCTGAGGCTAACTGGTTGCCCCTCTGACACTCTTTAATGCGACTGTTTGACCCACTTTTTAGAGGACACACAGCAACCTGAAGTTAACCTTCAAGTTAAATACTTGCTTTTATTCAAAAGACAAACGGCTGTTGCATTATCAGTAAATGCAAATAAGTGTCCTTACAGTAAATTCAAATTATCTGTGGCATTAACAACCTCCCATCTCTCCTTTTTTTAAAGGCAGTGCCTCTTAAAGGTGAGATACCTCCATTCTCCTGCTCTGACTGCAGCTGGGACTGCTGCGCGGAGGCTACAGTAAGACTGACCGCCCGTGAGTGCTTTGGGACAGGGGAGTGGCTCACGGCCGGACCCG